GCTGATTCACTTTGTTATAAAGCAGAAACTAACACACCATTGTAAAGCAATTATACTCCAATAAAGATGTTAAAAAAAAATTGCTCCACCTCTATTTTCCACACATATTTTATCTACACATAAACTGTAGTTTCCCGGGTGTCTCACTGATTGTTGATTTAGTAGCTCCATGCATTTCAAGGGCTACTGTGGGCATAAATGTTACAACAAGTGGCCAGCAAAAGGATCAGCCTTAAATACATCTACCCTCACCACCCAAGACAGGAATGCGTCAGATATTCTCGGTTGCTTGTGTACAGGGATTAAGCAATTCATTTATTTAGCAAACGTGTATTGAGCCCTTCCTAAGGGTAAGAGTCTTTGCTAGGAGTTGAGGATACATGTGTAAATGAACCACACAGGAGCACGACACAGGATATAATAGCTGTTACAAGTGCAGGAGTTGTAAGCCAGGGCAGCACAGAACCAGCACATTTCATCAGAAACCAAACTTTCTGAGCAGGCCCCGCACCCCTGGTCCAAAGCTAAGGCCGCACACCTGGGAAATGAGAGAGTCGTGATCTCAGATACCGTGCCCGACAGACATGACCTTACAGGTACAGGGCTCCATTCATGGCGGGAGAGCTGGCTAAGGAAACAGGAGCAGCTTCTCAAGGCCTTTGCTGCTAAGCAAATCAGAAAGAACCATCACATGGGGTCAAAGTGTGACTACATATTTCTCCACTCCTCTAGATCTTAGTTTCAAGGTTGTCACAAACGATTCCTCCTATTTCTGACCAAAAGGGATTTCTGACCATTCATTCATAATGAGTCCTGAGTAATTCTCTGACAGGCACAGGAGACAGAGACCAAGCTGTGGACTCAACCTCACTGTGCCCTTAACCTGCCACTCCCTTTCCACACTTGGATTTCACACCATGACCGCCTTTGATGGTGCAATGGTTATTCCTGTTATTCTTGTTCTTGCTTTTTTTTTTTTTTTAAGGAATAAGAATTTGTTTTCTGCTTTCTTACTTTGAAATAACAACTCCTTGCAGTGTATTTCGTAAGTGCCAAATCAAATTGATGGAGGGATTGCAACCAGGAACATTTTTTTGGAAATTACATGTTTAGGAATCTGTAGGTAGGCTAAGAGGATAAGAAACTCTGAGGCTAATCCACAGAAATGCATGATCCTTAAGTTAACCACAGCTGAACCTCTACAGGGCTGTTTTTATAAACAGAATAAATCTCAGATAATATAATGAAGGGCTCAAAGCCATTTGTCAGTGTGCTTGGAGATGTGCAACCTTGTGTTCTATTTAGAGAAGCAGGTACCAACAGGATTTCTAGGGAACAAGACACCATCCTGTGTACCAACAGGACCTGTTTCTCTTCTCTCCAGTCCAGAATGGAAATAAATATGGCATCACTCTGCTTCTGTTTAACTCCAGTAAACTCTAAGTGCTGCCCATATAACCCCAAACATTGTTACAGTGTCAACTAAAGTCCAAAAGGCGAGTTTTGAATGGGTCAACCCACCATAAAAAAAAAGTCATTATTTTTATTATTTTTATTTGGGTTTCCCCAGAAACAAATTATTTTTGTGTGTCCTCGGAGATAAGGACTCCAGTATACAAAGTTTATTTAGGACACAAAGAAAACATCTACGGGGGAGTAGGAAGTGATGGGGGAAGGGAAGACTGCCAACAAGAGAGTTATACAGCAAGTCACCAGAGGGGGCAACCAGAGCTCACCACTGTGGAGACTCTGGGCAACAGTATAGCATTCATACCAAAGAATGTTCCCACCTTAGGTGTTATGGGCTGAATTACGACCCCAGAAAGAGATGCTGAAGTCCTAACCCCCAAGACCTCTGATTGTGATCTCATCTGGGAATAGGGTCATTGCACATGGAATTAGTTAAGTAGAGATGTGGTCCTACTAGAACAGGGTGGGCTGTTAATCCAATGTAACTGGTGTCATTACCCGAAGATGACGCGAAGATACAGGGAAGAAATCCCTGTGAAGATGGAGACAGAGGTGGGAATGATACAGCTGCAAGCCAAGGATTACTGGCAAGCAAGGATTCTACTTAGAGTCTCAGAGGGAGCACGGCCCTGCCAACACCTTGATCTTGAACTTCTAGCCTCCAAAATTGTGAAAGAATACATTTCTGCTGTTTTAAGGCCCCCAGTGTATTGCATTTTGTTGTGGAAGTCCTAGGAAACTGAGACACTACATAAGGATCTGGGGTATTTATACACTACCATCAGTCAGTGGTTGAGGGCTGCTCAACCAGTGGCTAAGGAGACTTATACCCGTAATTCTTCTTGACTTTCAGGCACAGCCAGAGAAGCCTTTCTAGGCTCCAGAAGAGTCCCCAGGCATAGAGATACAAATACGGCAGTTGGGAGCACACTGACGTAGTCTACGGGCTGGGTTCCACTTCCCCGTTGCCTACAAGATCAAGTTCAGCTCTCTAGACTAGGAGCAGAAGAGCAATTTGAGGGCTGAGAGGGAAAACAAAAACAGATTCTGCCAACAACACAAATGAGCTTGGAAGTGGATACTTCCCCCCAAGCCTCCAGATAGATGCCAGCTAGCCAACACCTTGACTTTGGCTTCTTGAGGACCTTTAAAGCCACTAAGTGTTGGTGCGGTGTGTCATGCAGCACAGATCCCTGAAACAAGACCTGTGCCCTCTGTTCACCGTTGGAACACTTCCCCAGATTAGGCATGCTGCATACAATATCTCTAGCTTCACCACAACCTTGAAAAGTCAGTCCGGTAGAATTATCTCCATTTCACAGATAAGGGAACTGAGTTTCACAGAGGTTGAGCAACGCATACAGATTTACCACCAATGTCCTTATTATTTCTACTCTTGCCTTTTAATGATAAAACAACACTTGAACCTCTGATTTTATAAGGTCATTTCCCAATGTGTGCCATGTAAAGCAGTTCTGGCACAGACATTGACAAGGGCTGGGCTTCTTGCTGCCTTTAGGAAACCAAGTGTCACTGTTGTAAGGCTTCCATAGGCATATGCCCAGAGACATGCTGACTGCTCCAGGAAAGCAGTGGGGAGCAGAGGCCCCACAGGGCAGTAAGGATCCACCTACCACTCACCATATGTCAAGTGGGGACAGGTCAGCATTTGTCTAAGAGGTAAGCCTTCGCAAAGTTGTCACCTGGGAGCATATGGCCATTGGGATAGAAGAAAATGCCCCACTAACATGCCAGGTGTTCAATACCATTTGCCAAAAATATATATTATTTATGACAGCTTTTAATTTCTAGAGGAAGGTGGAGAGGCATTTTTTTCCCTAGGCAACTTTGTGAAATGACTCAGTTATACTCAGTAAGCTGCAACTACTATATACAGGGAAGATGTACAGCCGGACAGTAGCGGGATTGTTCCTTGCTCTTAAAAATATGGCCCCAGACTATAATCTAGAATCAATTAACTATCATCCAGACAACCAAACTGTGAAATAGGCAGAAGGTCAGGACAAACACTTCACAAAAGCAGGACTCCAAGTGGCCAACAGACATGTGAAAAGACGTTCAATTTCATTAAGGCATCAGAGAAATGCAAACTAAAACTCCAGAGAGACAGCATTGACAATCCACCAAAATGGGTAAAATGAGAAAGGCATTTGACACGGACATTGTAAATCAGTTGTTGACAAATCAGTCTCGGTTGCTGACAAGGATGGGGCCTGACTGGAAATTCCAAGGATTCCTGATGAAAGGAGTATCCATTGGTCCTTTAAGATAATCTTGAGCAGCATTTAGCAAATTTGAATGTACCTTTTCTATATGACCTGATATAATTTCACTGTCTGGTAGACCAAGCAGAAATGTGTGCATATGTTCACCAAAAGACATGTAAAAGCATGTTCGTATCTACATGGGTCATGATGTGGTCCTTGAAAATTAACATTTTGTATACCAGGCCCCGTCACGAGTCCCAGGTTCCTGTCCCTCTGACACTTTCTCTGGAGGGTAGTCTACCCAGAGCTCCCAATGTGGGTCAGGCTGACAGGGATTGGAACACTAGTTCTACCATTTTATTAGTTATGTGGCTTTGGACAAGTCACTTAAGCATCAGTTTTTCTGTCTTTAAAATGGAGGCCATAACAATGCTTACTTCAAAAGATTATAATAAGACCTCATTATATTAACATAGACACAGCAGAACCAGGCCCGGCACATAGTAAATGCTCCATCAATGTGATGCCTGTCAAGCCTGTCTCTCCATACTGATACATTTGTATGCACTGGTATAGTTTAAGTATGCTCTTGTAAATTCAGCCAGGGGTGAACTTCACATGAGCACTTCAGTCAATGGACAGGTAAGCATCCAATGATATTGCTAAAAGTCAAATCTGTTAATTGATAACCACTGACATTAATAGGTATAAGGAATAACTTTATAAGGATGTATGCATTTATGAGTATGTATCTTTCTAAATTTTTAAAATTCAACTTGGAATGTTGATGATGTGCTTATTTAAACACATGCTATTTTGAACTCAATATAGTACATAAAATGTTTATATTCATTGTATGCATATACAAACGTGTTTAATTAAACTTTTCATTTATTTTCAGCTTTGCTAATTTAATCGATGGTTGAAAAGTTTGAAGGAGTGTAAAAGATGTCTGATAACCTTGAGGTCTTAGTAGAGAGATCAAATAGATCACAGAAATGATATAAAAGAAAATGGGTACCCAGCATTGAAGAAATAAAAGAAAGATCAGAAGGAAGAATAAAGGAGAAATACACTTGGATAAACCCAATAGAAATACTAAATATAGATGGTCAACAAGCTATAATAATATGGAAAAGTATAACATGAGGGTAGTTTTTCTTTTCTGTCTGTTTCAACTATGAACGAACATGTCTTACTGCCTCTGATAAAACAAGCTTTTAGTATTTATTGTCTAGCTCTTGAGCCTTCTCAGTGACCATCAACAATGACAGGGAGGGAGTTTTGAAAGAATCCATTTACCTTCCAAGATATTGTTAATATTCTGCTCTCCCAGGAATTCCAGGGTCAGAAGAAAACAGTCCCTGGATGACAGCTGGGCAGCGACCTCAGGAACAAGTCCTGGATGGAGCAAGAGGACACAGGTCTCAGCACAGACTTCCCCAGACCAAATGCAGGTGACAGGTGGCTGCAGTGCTGGGCTGCATGGAGGAGAGTTGTACATCCAGGGCAGAGACAGGGGGAAGCACAGAATTAATGACAGCAAAAGATTAAGCAACAGGGAAAATGAAGAAATTATTAAAGGTCCAGGGGAAAATACCTGGGGGTAGAAGAAAGGAAATGCAATCATATTACACAATTCAGCTCGGCGGGGAGTACTATTTACACAGGTATAACAGTGGACACACACTACTGATTTAACAGAATATTATGATCTGAATGTCCTGTATTACGAGGGTTGAGGAGGGAGACAGTTTGAGAGGAACAAAGAGAGAACATGTCTGTGTCTTAGTCGGGGGTCAGGAAAAGCAGGTAAGAAAATAAAATTCTCAGTAGAAAATCAAAAGGTAGCAGTATAATTATATTAGATATGGAGATAAATAGCCAAAGAAAATCTAAGAGTTGATAGTGGCTCGATTCAGAGGTGAGAATGGGAGGATTTGACGGTCTCTCTTTTGGATTATTAGACTTGCAGTATTATTTGATTTCAAAACTATTTTAAAAACTAAATTAAAAAGGGGTTAATCTTTGGACTCATTGAGTCTGTAGTCTAAAAAGAACAACATGGCTGGTAGTGTTTATAATAAAATATAGCAATGTGTAAATTAAATGTGTTAATATTGTAAAAATAACCATTCAGCTTCACTGGATGGCTTATGGGATACTTATAAATGCATAGTCGCCATGCTGGATCCCAACTGGTCAAAGCCTACCGGAATTAAGATACAAGAAGAAGGGTGCAACGTTTTTATTTAACAACAAGTGATATATTCAAAATGTAAGACTATAACGGCCCTTAGTAATGTGATCTGACAGGACTGTTGGATTATGTTTGCTTTCCCAGGGTACTCCCTGAGTTCTTGGCCATTCTTAACAATTTTGGCTTTCCTTGACTATCCTATGAGATGGGCAAGCCCCCTGGCTCTGTCTCTCCCAGACACCCTGAGAATAGATAGACCCTCCTTCTCTAGCTCACTCACAACCCACTGGCACAGTTGCTAAAGCTGACCTGGCTGGTCCCTGAGGGATGGAAGGCTGCTGACAGGAGCCCATCCTACCTCCTTCTGCTTCGGCACTGCATCTGGGTAGCATGAGAAGGAGCGTGAGTAGAAAGCCATGAAAACGTGCTTTTGCTTTTCCCATTCCTCGTGTTCACACAGTAGAAGAAAAGGAAACTAGCTTCCGTTGAAACCAGCTGATTAAGCTGATAATGAGACTGAAGGGGCAGTGTACAAAATCCACAGGTCACAGTCAGCTTGGGATGAAAGAATTCTAGCTAGAATGCTCCTTATTGCTGCAACACCCAAGTGGCAAGACATTTAATGAGTGAAAATTGTGGAGAAGTTAAAGACATGTTATATGAAAAAAATCAGAAAAACAATGGCAGAGTAAGAGAAAAGAATATACAAAGAGGAAAGTAAAATCATCATGACCCTGTATTGTGGTAAACCCAAAAAATGTCTACTCTACTTCCCCAACCCCAGCTCCAGGGCACAATCTCATGGGGCAAACCAATTGCAGAAATCCCAACTCCTATGTCAAAGTTCATTTTCCAGATAAATCAATTAAATTTTTTTTTGTTTTCTCTTTTTCAGTTTTACTGAGGTATAATTACTGAGGCAAGAGACCATTGTTTCCAGGTGCACGAGGAGAGGGGATTCAGAGTGCTGCCTAAACAAGCTCCAGAGACGGCTGCGAGCTGTGGCTATCGGCACAGACACCAGAGACGAGCATGAGACGCTAAGGCTGCTGCTGCCGCCACCAAGAAGCCTGTGTGTGAGCACAGGTCACTATCCACACCTCCCCCTCCAGGGAGCCTGTGCAGCCCGCCACTGCTAGGGGCCCGTGATCCAGAGACAACTTCCCCGGGAGAACACACAGTGCGCCTCAGGCTGTTGCAACGTCTTGGTGGCCTCTGCCGCCGCAGGCTCGCCCTGCATCCGTACCCCTCTCTCCCCCCGGCCGGAGTGAGCCAGAGCCCCCGAATTAGCGGCTCCTTTAACCCCATCCTGTCTGAGCGAAGAACAGACGCCCTCAGGCGACCGACACGCAGAGGCAGGGCCAATCCAAAGCTGAACTCCAGGAGCTGTGCGAGTAAAGAAGAGAAAGGGAAATCTCTCCCAGCAGCCTCAGGAGCAGCAGATTAAATCTCCACAATCAACTTGATGTACCCTGCATCTGTGGAATACCTGAATACACAACGAATCATCCCAAATTGAGGTGGTGGACTTGGGGAGCAACTGTACACTTGGGGTTTGCTTTCTGCATCTCATTTGTTTCTGCTTTATCGTACTTTAGTATTTAGAGTTTATTATCATTGGTAGATTTGTTTATTGATTTGGTTACTCTCTTCCTTTTTTTTATATATATAGATTTTTTTTCCTTTCTCTTTTTTTATGAGTGTGTATGCTTCTTTGTATGAGTTTTTCTATATAGCTTTGCTTTTACAATTTGTCTAGGGTTCTGTCTTTTTTTTTTTTTTTTAGTATAGTTTTTACTGCTTGTTATCATTGGTGGATTTGTTTTTTGGTGTGGTGGCTCTCTTCTTTCTTTTTTTATTACTTTTGAATTTTTTTATTTTTAATAATTAAAATAAATTTTTACTTTAATTATTTTATTTTATTTCTTTCTTTCTTTCTTTCTTTCTACCTTTTCTTCTGAGCTGTGTGGCTGACAGGGTCTTGGTGCTCCGGCCAGGTGTCAGGCCTGTGCCGCTGAGGTGGGAGAACCGAGTTCAGGACATTGGTCCACCATAGACCTCCCAGCTCCACATAATATCAAACAGTGAAAGCTCTGCCAGAGATCTCCAACTCAACACTAAGACCCAGCTCCACTCAATGACCAGCAAGCTACACTGCTGGACACCTTATAGCAAACAACTAGCAAGACAGGAACACAACCCCACCCATTAGCACAGAGGCTGCCTAAAATCATTATAAGGTCACAGACACCCCGAAACACTCCACCGGACGTGGTCCTGCCCACCAGAAAGGCAAGATCCAGGCTCATCCACCAGAACACAGGCACCAGACCCCTCCACCAGTAAGCCTACACAACCCACTGAACCAACCTTAGCCACAGGGGGCAGACACCAAAAACAACAGGAACTACGAACTTGCAGCCTTTGAAAAGGAGACACCAAACACAGTAAGTTAAGCAAAATGAGAAGAGAGAGAAACACAGCAGGTAAAGGAGCAAGGAAAAAACTCACCAGACCAAACAAATGAAGAGGAAATAGGCAGTCTACCTGAAAAAGTATTCAGAGTAATGATAGTAAAGATGATCCAAAATCTTGGAAATAGAATGGAGAAAATACAAGAAATGTTTAACAAGGACCTAAAAAGAACTAAAGTGTAAACAAACAATGATGAACAACACAATCAATGAAATTAAAAATACTCTAGAAGGAATCAATAGCAGAATAACTGAGGCAGAAGAACGGGTAAGTGGCCTGGAAGGTAAAAGAGTGGAAATAACTACCGCAGAGCAGAATAAAGAGAAAAGAATGAAAAGAATTGGGGACAGTCTCAGAGGCCTCTGTGACAACATTAAACGCACCAACATTCGAATTATAGGGGTCCCAGAAGAAGAGGAGAAAAAGAAAGGAACTGAGAAAATACTTGAAGAGATTATAGTTGAAAACTTCTCTAATATGGGAAAGGAAACAGTCAATCAAGTCCAAGAAGCTCAGAGAGTCCCATACAGGCTAAATCCAAGGAGGAACACACCAAGACACATATTAATCAAACTATCAAAAATTAAACACAAAGAAAAAATATTAAAAGCAGCAAGGGAAAAACAATAAATAACATACATGGGACTCCCCATAAGGTTAACAGATGATCTTTCAGCAGAAACTCTGCAAGGCAGAAGGGAGTGGCAGGACATATTTAAAGTGATGAAAGGGAGAAACCTACAATCAAGATTACTCTACCCAACAAGGATCTCATTCAGATTTGACAGGGAAATTAAAACCTTTACAGACAAGCAAAAGCTGAGAGAGTTCAGCACCACCAAACCAGCTTTACAACAAATGCTAAATGAACTTCTCTAGGCAAGAAACACAAGAGAAGGAAAAGACCAACAACAACAAACCCAAAACAATTAAGAAAATGGTAATAGGAACATACATATTGATAACTACCTTAAATGTAAATGGATTAAATGCTCCAACAAAAAGACACAGACTGGCTATATGGATATAAAAACTAGACCCATATATATGCTGTCTAAAAGAGACCCACTTCAGACTGAGGGACACACACAGACCGAGAGTGAGGGGATGGAAAAAGATATTCCATGCAAATGGAAATCAAAAGAAAGCTGAAGTAGCAATACTCATATCAGATAAAATACACTTTAAAATAAAGACTGTTACAAGAGACAAGGAAGGACACTACATAATGATCAAGGGATCAATCCAAGAAGAAAATATAACAATTATAAATATATATGCACCCAACATAGGAGCACTTCAATACATAAGGCAAATGCGAACAGCTATAAAAGAGGAAATCAACAGAAACACAATCATAGTAGGAGACTTTAACACCCCACTTTCACCAATTGACACATCATCCAAAATGAAAATAAATAAGGAAACACAAGCTTTAAATGATACATTAAACAAGATGGACTTAACTGGTATTTATAGGACATTCCACCCAAAAACAACAGAAAACACTTTCTTTTCACATGCTCATGAAACATTCTCCAGGATAGATCATATCTTGAGTCACTAATCAAGCCTTGGTAAATTTAAGAAAATTGAAATCATATCAAGTATCTTTTCCAACCACAACGTTATCGACTAGGTATCAATTACAGGAAAAAATCTGTAAAAAACACAAACACACGGGGCTAAACAATACACTACTAAATAACCAATAGATCACTGAAGA